CAGTTTTAAAGACTTCTCAACCCCCAAATCCACCCAGCAGTCACCTGCTGAGTAATTTTGTATGCCTAATCTCTAGCCCTTAACTACAAGCTTTCTGCTAATTTGAGGCAAATGGGTATTTTTGACACTAAATAGGGCAGTAAAGAATCCCTGACCTAGAAAAACTCCATTCCAAGGCACTGAGAGCAGAAAAATATTCTTTCAGCATCCTTGTGAGACCTTTGGAATGACATAAAATAGCTTTGACTAAACTACGCTGCAGCCTTCGATTAATGGTTTGCAGAAACTTGCTGAACATCCCTACTACAACTTCCCCCATAAAACTTGTCACTTCAGATTGCCATCAGCCACCACAACAATAATCATTTCATGCCTATTGCTAATTGCAAGCACAGCTGAGGCTCAGCGGGGTGCTCTTGCACAGTCCCAGGCCTTTATACCAGCCTCAATCTGTTGTATGGCACTTGTTCACACACAAAAAAACTACCAGTAAAGGCAGAAAGAGGCAGAGTCACAGGTTTCTTGTAATCCCTCTGCTACCCTGCTGACAACCCAGCCCTATAAGCATTCCTGGTTTTGTCCCACTCTTTACAAAAGCTGAAGTGACCTTAAGCTACTAGTATGTAAGCTTTTGAATGAAGAATACAGCTCCTTCAGGTGCCTTAAGAAGCAGTGTTGCATCTGGTTTACGAGATTCTGTTTGCAGCACCCCTGGGGTGAGCTGTGGCTTCCTGTAACATGTAAAATATGAGTGTGAACTCAAGGTTCATGGCAAGGAACAGGAGGTCATGCTTCCATTCAGCTCACACCAAAGAAGACGGGGGTTTGCAGATGTTCCTGGGTATGTGTAATGACACCACCTCCCGGAAAGCGCAGGAACCCAGCACAGGGCTTTTTTTTTTTTTTTTTTTTTTTTTTTGATGAAATGTGCCACACTCAGTGTGTTACTTGCAGATTTATTCATATCAATTTTTGCAATTTATGTATTCAGAGACAAACTTGCTATTTCAGCAACTTATTGATCATGCTTTTGCATTCAAAAAAAAAAAAAAAAAAGGCTGGAGGGGAGGAGGAAGCTTCTTGTTTGAGCTAGTTGGGGTGTTGCATGGGCAGCTGTGGAAGCCCACCCCTTGGCATGCTGCAGCTCCTCTAATGCCAGTCCAGGAGCATCCCGGCCAGCCCAAGGCTACCACCTGGCAACGAGGGTTGCTTTGAAAGATAGACAGGGAACAGGAAAACTAACCTTAAAGAGGGATTAAATTCTTGGTCATGCAAATACGGTATCTACTTGCTGTTGTTGGGTTCTCATAGCATCTAAAGAGCGTCTGTTTGCATTTCCTCTGCTGTTAGCCAGGTCACACCACGCAGGCTGTGGCATGCCTCCACGGGAGCCCTCATCCTTTCCTTGTGAATGTCCCAGTGGATGTGTAACATCCACCACGCATCCACCAGGATGCACCCTGCACAGCTGCCCGTCACCCCGTGTCCCCAGACTGAGTGTAAATTGTCCTCTGAGTGATGGACAGGGATGCCAGCTAGCATCAGTAACGTGTGTGTGCAGCAGCAAGTTATATGTGCAGTTGGGTATGTGGACCTGGGAGCATCAATGAGGTCTACTCATTCTTCACAACCAGGTGGGAGGAGTTTTGAGTGTAGCTGGCCCTGGGGCTCCAGAAATGTTCCTGAAATGTGTTGCGGCCCCATGGCAAAGCCTCGAAGTTCAGCATTTGGGCTGTGCCCTCTGCGCCTCGCGTATGGGGACAAGCCGCAGGGCTGGAGCTGGCGCCTCGAGGAGCCCCGCATCCCCAGCGTGCTCCCCGCTGCCCTTCGGGGAACGGCAGCCCCGCACGGAGGGAGCGAGGTGGCCGGTGTCCCGACAGGACCACACTGCGCTCTTTTGTCTGAAATCATCACGTTTCCGTTTTGGAGCATTTGGCTTTGTTGTTGTTTTTTTAATAATATAATCATATGCAAATGTTATCTTCTTTGGTAGGTTAGTCATGAATCAGAGGGCTTGTGCGTCTTATAGCACATCAACACTAGTGATAGCTAAAGGGAACATTTAATTTATGGGCTAACTTATTTTTATGAATATGCAGGGCTTAAATTCAGCAGTTGGTGTGTGCTCTATGAAGTGACGTGACGGTTTTGTGTATCAAGATCAATGAATTAGACTTTGTCTTGTTCTCATAAAGCAGAAAGTCTTTGGAGTAACTTAGCTTTGAGAAAGAGAGCTCCTTTCATGCAGCCGAGCAATACGCCTGGCTGAGCCCTTGTCAGCCAGTGCTCAAGAGGAGAACCGTACAATTTGGATTTGGCTCGGCGGAGTTTGCGTCTCCCCAGAATCCAGCCTGTTGGAGTGCCTTCCAGAAACACAGCAAAATGTTTAATTTAGCTAATCTGAAGGTCTCGCAGCAGCAAAGTCACCTTCCCAATAACTTTGAGGCAGAGGTTATCATTTCTGGTTTGGATCCGTACAGCTGTGTAGGTGTGTGTGGCACAGGACAAACAGAAATGGCAGGACCTGGCCCCAACGGGGACTTCTCCTCGGATATAGAGGTGACATAAACACCCAGCAGATCATCTTGTGGAAGATGAGAGGCAGCAGTGGAAGGGAGAGGATGAGCATATGTAACATAGGGTCGCTTCGTTCCTCCGTGGGTTTTGATTTAGAGAGGTGGTGGAAGGAGGTGTTTGGGTGACCTGGGCGTCCATGTGCCAGCACAACCCTGGGTCACAGCTAGTGTCACTCACGAGCATGATTCATTAAGCATGTCGATTGCAAAAAATGTTACATTATAAACATTAACGATTTCTCTCTGTTTTGCCCGCGTGGGCCCACAGCATTACAAGGGAACCCAGGCAGATTCCCCCAGTGACAGCAGTCGCATTGTGCCACCCCCCCAAGATGGATGCTGTGTCCTGAGAGGTTTTCCCAGCACCCACGGGCAGCCGGGACTCTCTGGAGGATATCCAGGGATGCTCTGACCTCTCAGACTAGTCTGAGGGATTGGAAGGTATAAAGACCCACCAGACCTTACCATCTGTTCTTTTGGTTGGGCCTACACCAGCTAACCAGGGTGCTTCACTCACAGTTCAACCCAAGTTCTGACGCCAGGACCTCAAGTGCCCACTAACAGTAGCTGAGCTTGATTTCTGCTACAGAGAAAGCCCCTGCTTTCCTGCCGGAATTAGTTTCATTCGAGCTCTTAGCTCCTGCCAGGTCTCCATCCTGGAGATGTAGGGCCAGCAGGAACCCCTGCCACAAGTTGCACAAGGTCTAGGCATCGAGCAAGAGATCACCACATGCCATTTCTTTGGTGCCTCTTCCATCCCTTTATTTCCTTCATTTTATTAAGTAGTGGTGTAGAAATAGAAGTATGGGAACATCTTCATTGAAGTGGGGGAAAAAACCCTTCCCCGTGCAGCTTGACTAACCTCTGCTCTCTGCTCCTGGTGAAGGATGGCAGCTCCTGGGTGCATCACCGCATGGTTCAACGTGTGTGGAGCCCACATTTTTTTTTGTGCTGCTGGGCTGGTTTGGCTCGGACTCCATTGTTGGCTTTGGTCAGCCTTGTGCCAGCTCACACACTTGGCTCGTGGGTGCTCCAGGACAGCGGTGCCCGCGGGCGCTGGTGCTGCCAACTGAGCCCCACGCAGGGACAGGTTACAGTGCCGGAGCCGCAGCACCAGCCGCACTCTGCCCGCAGCCACGCGCTGCCACCTCGCACGGGGTTGGAGGCCACTGGTTTGCGATTGCAGAATACTCAGTTGTCTTCATTTGCCGGCAGCTTCAGCAACAAAGGGACGAGGGCGGGTTTCTGCGTCAGAGCCCCCTGCCCGAAGGGGCAGTGGCGGGAGGCAGAACCGCCCAAGTTAGACTGGTGCGAGGGTTTAGCTGGGAGGGAGCAGCGTTTCAGCCTAACCTGCATGGCGCTTGATCAGTATTTTTATAAACTGGTAGGGTATTATTATTTTTTTTTTCCCTTTAACTGGTTCTAGATTAATTGCAGCGGGTCTGCAGGGTAGGTTTTGCTCCATGTGTAAGAGAGATTGTGAGGCGGAAGGTACACAGAGAGGCGTGATGGGTTTCTGTCCACAGACCGCTTTGCAATCGCCCCTTGTGCTGAGTGCCGTGGGGAGATTTTTGTGATTCCCCCCCACCTCCCCCATCCCCTTGCCACAACCCCTGCTTTTCCTTCTCTCGAGGGCTCACTGCTCGTCTGCGTGGCGTCAGACGTGCAATGCCAGCCCTGCGTGAGCAGGGCGCTGATCCCACCGAAGCCTTCCCGCGCTGCGGGGCAGGCAGGCTGCTGCCACACAGCTGCAAGCCTTTTTTTTCACCGACAAGCAGCAAAATTTCAGCCCCTGGAGGGGCCCAGTGAGTTCAGCAGCTTGAAACGAGCTCATTTGTTTGCTGCTTTTCCATCTTCCATACTTGTGAGAGTGAAACCAAAGCATTTCCCGCGCAGCCCGTAGGTGCTCACACCAGCATCCTCACCCGCAGCCAAACCTTGTCCCGCACGAGCCTCCCCTCCGCTCGCCGTCAGGCAACCAGACTTGCCCCCGCGGCTGGTTATGTTTGAATTTCAAGCCGGTAAGTAGCTCGAGTGTGGGTCTGACACACTTAAAGGCAGGACTGTGCTCTCAGTGGGGCGGGGAACGGGTTAAAAAAAATGGATCGGGCCAAACGCACACCGCTGCTGGCGAGTCCCGTCAACGGCAAAATCAGATTACAAAAACCCTGCGGTGGTGCTGGTGGCCGTTACCCCTCCTAAGAAGTTTGTTGCTGTTGTTATTAAAATTTAAAAGCTCGTGCATGGAAATTCTGTGTGAAAGAGGGTGCCTGCGTCCCCCTCTAAGTCTGTCATGTCCCAGGAAGGCCTTGGCGGCTGGTGGGAAGGGTCCGTGCTGGCTGTAGGGGGGGTGCAGCCCGTGTTACTCGGGGCACAGCGCGCAGCCCTAACGTGGTGGCTGGAGAAGTCCTGTCTCTCTTGCAGCAATGGTACACCAGCTCGATGAATGTTGTCTGCACCTGGCTGACGGACCGCATGGACCTGCAGCTTCACATTTACCAACTGAAAACTCTCATTAGGATAGTAAAGGTAATTGTCCGATGTGTTTTCGATACCGTTGTGCTGTCGGAAGGAGCGTGTGTGTGTGCCTGCATGTGTGCGGCGTGTTCTCTTAGGCAAATTGTTGCCGGCAAATAAACTGACCCATTCATTAAAATTCTGTAAAATTAAGATACTTGTGTGTAGGGCATGTAGCGAAGCATAAACAGGAACTTGAAATGCATACAGGTGCAAAATACAGGTGCGCAAATAAGAACAAAGTAACCGCTTCCATGAAAAAAAGGAAAATCTATTGCAATTTGACCCTGCCTGTATAATAAGCACACCAAAATTAGCCTTTTTGTGGACAAACCCGTTGATCACACCAATGAACTCCAGTGTTAAAATGGGTTAAATCAAACCAAAAGTTTTTAACACTGTTTTACTAGAAAACATTTAAGCCCAGCTATGGCTTGTGATTATTGTCAGAATGCAAATGAGGATTGTTCTCATAGTTAATTGAAGTTGTTTCTTTTACAATGGGTGTATATAATCAACTCTAAGAGATCACAAAGGTGAGATAACATACCCCGAAAGTAACATTTTTTTTTCCTTGAGTGCACGTGTATATGTGTGTGTGTGTGCGTGCCTTGGACTATTGATAATTATTTCAGTGTGAAATCGCAGTGGTTTACATGAAATAATAAGATCACAGAAGGGGGTAAATATATTTTTGATCATTTTAGGTTCTATCTAATGCTTCTTGGTCTAGTATTTTATAATGTTTATGGTCTTGTGTGCAGTGAACACACTGAAGGCATGAATAAATTAAAAGTGAAATGTATTAAATGTGCTTTACATAACTGAAAACAACAGGCACAGGCAAATTATTTCTACTTGTCAGCTAGCTGAGGAAAGCTTTCTTCCTTGTGCTTTATTTATACCAATATTACATTCAGAAGCAGCTACAACAAACCCAATGACTTTCTGAAATAGCAGAACAGTAAATAGTTTCCACGCAGAGCACAGCGGAATTAAATGAACTATGAGGCCAGAGTTTTATCTCACACTGGAGAAGTTTTTAAACATAAATTCAAATGAGAGATATTAATTGTAATAACAAGGGAAATATAGCTAACTATGGAAATACAACCCCAGTTTCAGAATTAGGTGAAGAAAGAGAGATTTAAAAAACACATGCCATGTGCTTATGTTTATACATCAACAATTTTCCCCGGTATCCTGGACTTAGCTTATTTAATCCCAATACTGTAGGTGGGATTATTTAATACAGAGCATTCTGGGAATGTGTAATCAAGTCTACAGTTACGGGCAATAAGCATTCTGCTGCGTGAAGAAAAATAACTAACGTTACAGGCAGATGAATGCATCCAGGAGCAAGGAAAGTTAGTTGGGGCAGAGCCCCCATCTGTTGTTTCGATGTCTTTTTAGACCCCCAACCTACCATACACAAGGGTGCCCTGAGCAGCCCCCAGTACATCCTGCTTTGAAGCCTTTATCAGCCGCACGGCCCGGCCACCCTGCAAAGGCAGGGCTGGAGTCGCAGAGCTGTGATTTCTTGCTCAGGGCACCCTAAAGGGACGTCTGCCACAGCAAAGCGGTGGCCGGCAGAGACACCCACCCTCCCCCATGGCCTCTGTGCTGCCCGGGGCAATGCCAGATGCCTGCGGGGCTGGGATTTCCCTGGCGCCCCAGCCTCTTCCATTAGTGGCCCCAAACTCCAGGCATGGGGACACAAGCTGAGTCCCGCGGTGAGCAGGGGAGCCGGTGTCGGCCCTGACCCCTGTGCTGTCTCCTCCTCCCTCCGTGCCTCTCTCCACTTATAGAAAACATACCGGGATTTCCGATTGCAAGGCGTGCTGGACTCCACCTTGAACAGCAAAACCTACGAGACCATCCGGAACCGGCTGACGGTAGAGGAGGCCACGGCGTCGGTCAGCGAAGGCGGAGGGCTCCAGGGGATCACCATGAAGGACAGCGATGAGGAAGACGAAGAGGACGACTGAGGAAGCTGGCCTGGAGGACCGGCTGGGGGTCGCCTGGTATCCGTGCATGTACCTCGTCTGTAACTCAGTTAGCCACATTAGGAATTTTTATGTCAGCTCTAAATGCCCATGAGAAGTTTACCAATACAAATGCCATGTTAGCTGTGTGGTAATAAGATTAGCACCTCTCTTTGATTCGTCGGTTTCCTAATTTCATATCTATATGTTCATAAGCAATATGGAGCACCATTGTTTAATACTGTTAATGGAAAAACTACATAGAAAACATGCTAGGTGTGTCCCTGTTATAATTAAAGTTTAAACAATGCTTCATTAATGTACTGTATATACATTGATGGTAAATTGTTGTGAAGATGAGTGAATCGAGTCCTTTCATTTCTTTGTTTCTCTTCTGTGGACGCCAACTGCTTAAAACTAATAAAAAAACAGCTTTGTTTTTAAAAGAAGAACGAGGCAATTACAAATGATTTTTTTGTTCTCTCTGTTCATTTAAAAACCAGAAAACAAACAAACCCAGACAGCCGTTTGAATCACTCTGCATCCTTGTTAATGTACCAGGCTCTTCCCTTCAATATGCAGTTAACTCCATAGAGGCTACATCCCAAAGGATTAGTCATTCTAATTGCCACACCAGATTAATCCTATCATTATGGATATATCATGCCACATTACAAGTCCAAAGCAGTTGTTTTATGTTGACGTTTGCTCCTCTAAATGTTACATTTTTGTTTAAATTTCAAATAACCGTGTATGTACAAAGACAACTTTAATTACAATCTTAGACTATACAAATGTGTTTATAATAATATATTGAATATTTATTTCGGTAGATTGTAACCATAATTTACAATTCCTCTGTTTCACAATGGTTTTTATATATGTCATGTACATTGCATTTTGACCAGTAACTGCATGTCCATCAGTCCCCCCTCCAGAGCTTTTACTTTCTGTGTAAAATAGTGATCCATCTTGCTTTTTTTGCCTTATACAAGCCGACAGTTGTAAAAGTGTGAGAACTGTGGCTTCTCAATAAATAACTATTCAGATGTCCTAAGAATAAATTACGGAGTCTTTTTATGTCTGCCTTAGAAAAAAAAAAAATTACAAGCTGAGATGTAAGAGCCCCCACCTCTCAGAATAAAGGCATTTTCTTTTCTCATGGGTGTTTTTACAGTTTATTAATTAAGAAGGTGGTTTCCTGATTTGCTCCCAAAGGTCAGGGTGGGACCAGATTGACTGTTTCCCAGGTACAAGGCATTGCTGCTGTCACCCCTGCAGTTTTTTCTGCCGTTATCTGCTCTCTACATCCTATGATGTGTCCCTGGATGTCTAATTGACGGTCTGCTCTGGTACAGTCCCTGTTGTTACATGGTGATCAGCCTTGCCCAACACTTACCTTCCACCAAAAGGCTTCAGTTTGTATTTTAACTTCTCCCAGAGCCGCCACTTGCAGCAGCCTTCAGGGCACGTACAAACACATGGCAGGGGCAGACCCCTAGCTGAAATTAAAAAGCAGGCTGGTTTGACGGAAAGCACGCTAGGTTGGGAGTTTTCTGAGAGATTTTACAGTCACTCCCTCCCAGCAGCCAACTGAAACCAAAAATGACTCCTGGTTTGTCCGGTTTCAGTCATTTGAGAGAGACACAGAAGAGCTGAGTTCCTTCACCCCCAAGCACAGCAACCTGTTGCCACCCTGGGGAACAAGGAAAAGCGTTCAACACCCACAAATAAAAGATGGGCAAATGTTGGAAAAATGTCCAGCCTGGAGGAACCTGCCTGACATAACGAACCGTTAAACTAAACCATCTTCCAGTGCCCAAGAGCCAAGAACCACTCCCTGAACTTATGGGAGGAGGAGACCTCAGGGAACAGCCTGTGAATGGGGTGTTGAGTCCCAAATGGGGCTGGGATAGTGATGGAGCCTGGAGAACATTCACCTGCAATGGTGCATTTTTGGGTCCCTTCCCTCTGTGGCAGAGTTTAGCACCTGGCTCTGGAGATGGTCTCCAGCCCTGTCTGGATGACCATATCCTACACATTCCACACCCACCTACCCGTGGTGACCTGCGTACGCCATCTTCCTTGGAACAGGAACATTAGCGGGGTCTTTAAGACTGGGTGGTAGGCATGCACATTTATCACCATTTATGTGTTGATAAGCCATTTGATGCACTAGGATAGACAAGTTTTGAAACCTGACTGTAGCCCAGCAGACCACTTCTTGGTTTTTGTCTTGCTCCATGATGCTGGTAGAGGGAAGCATTACCAGGAAAAGCCACGTCTCGGGACTTAGGCAGGAACGTGGCCTTGTGGCCACTGACACAGGAAGCTCTTCCCCCTTCTCACTCGCCCTCCAGCTGTTCAAATACTTGGTGCTAAATCCCCAGAAGAACTGAGGTAGCAGTAAAGTGTTTAAGACACACTGAGTCCACCAAAACTAGTTCAGGTGCCTCTCCAGGTCTGTCACTGGGATGCGTACAAAACCCATCCATATCCTGACCGTTATGCTTGGAGCTTTCAGTCACACCCTGAAGCCCTCACAGGACTTGCCTGACAAAACAAGGCTCACAAGACATAAAGCAATGAACAAACCACAAGCACCACCTGATCCCCTTTCTAAGTGGCTGAGATCCACTTGAGACCCATACACATACTGATGCATAGCTGTGCTTATGCCTTCTTCACCCTCTCCCTCAGCTGTATCAAATATTTATATGAAGGGCAACAGCTCCAAGAGGAAGCACTGGGAAAGCCTTTCCTGGGGTGGTCACCAGGCTGGTAGCAAAGAGCACTGGGGGAGACCCAAATTTGTAGCTCTGCTGCCAGTCAAGCAGAGCGGAGCTGGAGAAACAGCTTGATTCTGCTCTGGAACTGGCTCGCTCTTTTTTTTTTTTTTTAACATGAAATATTTATTGGATAAAAACACAGCCCACTTCCACCTGCCACCTTTCAAAATAGTGAGCCCTGCTCAGATTTTTAAAAATTGAAGTAAAGAGTGTGGGCGCAGCCTTCAGGAGATGATCCTTGGCTGTGCATCAGTAACACGCATAGGTGCCCCCCTAACACACATAGGTGCCTCCCTGAAACAGCAGTGATGGACACCCTTGTCTGAGCTTCTCTGTCATTAGCAATGACCCTATAGCCTGCGACAGCTTTTCGCAGATCCTCAAACCCCAGTAAAGCACCTCAGAGACTCCGTAACAACTCTGAGGATACGTCAGGCTTGACCACGCATTCAAAACAAGGAAGCGTTAGCCAGCTAACTTCTTTTAAGGAGCTTGGACCCAAATGATGAGCTTCAAGTTACATATTTTAGTGTGAGCGGGGAGAACTCCTCATGTGCGAGCAATGCTGCAAAGCAGGATTTAACTCCCACTCCAGAGCCTGGAGCCTGTGGTCGAGCAAAGGAGCGCGTGGTACCCCGATCTCCGCTGCCTTTAACCCCGCACATGGCTATGTGGGTGCCGGCAGCCCGACCCTCACCTGCACGGCTGCTGCACCACGGTAGCAGGAGCGAGAAGTGCCGGCTTGGGTTAATCCTGCAGAAATGTTGAATCCAAAATGGTTCGGTTTTGTCTGAAAAACATAAATTCGGGTTTAAAGCCCTCATGGTCACAGACTACACTTTGGACAGGACTCAGGCTCCCGCAGGGCAAAGCTACACCTCGGGCAGCATCTAAAAGGGCCGCTGATGGATGGGAGCACTCTGGCAAACCCCGCCAAGGAAAGTAAAGGTCTGCTGCTGGTTTCGCTTCAACCCATTGCTGCAATGGAACGAGCTCCAACAGTCAAAGGACTTTCTGCCAGTACAACTGCACCTAGATGAAGAATCTGCCAGTACAGTTATGTCAATCAGTTTTGGGGAAAGAGGAAAATTTCATTCCTCTGCCAGCAAAATTTTAAATGATAGATCAGGCCAAAACTTCTCTCATATTTACAGGGAAGTCCAGCGAAAATATCCTTTTTTTGACAGACTTACTTAAAGCATGTGGCATGGAGACTGAAAATGCTATCAACTATTTGACTGACAAGTGTCAGCAGCTGTTCATCCAATTTGTTTTATATTTCAGCAACTAACAGATTCTTTCCCCTCTGCTGTAATGCATGTCTCCTGGCCCATAGGCATCTTAGAAATTGCTTTTCTGCCTCTCTAGTGACCAAAACGTCAAAAATATTAGAAGACAATTTGTGTTCAGAAGCATAAACAGGCACGCAGCAAAGCAAAGATGATTTTGTCAATGTTCAGGCTGTGTTCTTTTTAAAAAAGTCAGAGCAAACCTAAGGCAAAAATTACTTCTCTAAGCTTTAAAAGAAAAGCTGAAGCAAACAAAGCACCCAATAAATCAACACAGGTTAAACCATCAATGACCAAGGGAAAAATCACTCATCTAACGGCCAACCAAACCGCAGCTGAGCCATATTTCAACCTCTGCACTTAGCCTGTGAAGTTCACAACTCTGCACTACCACCACCAGCACCAACATTTGTTCAAAAACCGGCTCCACGGTGTCACGATTCAACAGAGCCACCGCTGCGCCAAGCCGAGCCCAGCTAGGACAGTCCCTTAAGCCATTCACAAAACCCAGCCTTCCCCATCTTAGGTCTAGCTATGCTTTCAGAAAGGCTTTGATCCCTGACTGCATATAATATAAGTTACAATTATTGCCGTTGCCACCCATTCGGAACTTGCTGGACTAAAGAGCCTGCAAGACACCTCTCTCCAGTGACCTGTATTCAGCCCTATCTCCTTTATTCAAGCACGTTTAGGCTCTTGAGCTAAACCTGAAGAGATATTTTGCTCAGCCTTTCTAAAAGATGCATATTCCATTTCAAGTTGTAAATCTGCATTTGTTGTAACTATGCAAAATATGGGAGAAAAAAAAGTGCAGAGATTATATGCAATCTGCCAGCAGAGTTGTGTGCCATGAGGAAAATGCCTCACAGGTCAAAACAAAGAAAAACACTGAGCAACAAATTAGTTGCAGGCAGTAGCTAATATGGAGATCAAAAGATTAAAATCAACATGCAACGATGAAATCACTGGAATAATAGGAGCACTTAAGAAGATTAAGTCAATAACAGAGTCCAGTAGTACAAAAATAAGATTTTGATTATACTGTAAAATTTGATATTGGGAGAGCAAAAGCAATTACAACCACGACATGCTTCGCTCTCCCCGCCTTAGACCATCTTGGCTCATTTCCTATGCAAGGAATACAGTTGTTGAAATAAACAGAAATGTTATGACTCAAGTGCTCGATTCAAAAACAAACCAGGTGGTCAGATCAGATTGGGGACTGACAAGACAGGGTCTGCAAAGGAGGACTTGTTGCAGATCGTGGAGGATACGACAGCTGGGGGGAACAAAGGCCACACCGTTTAGGACTGCTTTCGGCAGAGAGAGCTCCACAAGCAGCCGATGTCGGGGGGCTGTCCCAGGCTGTCAGCTGGAGAGGAGAGGCAGGCACTGGAGGGGCGGAAGGAGGAGAGGAGTATCTCAAAGGCTTGAAGTGAATGTGGTGGTGAACTCTTTGATAACAGGGATGGGGTTTCGCTATCCAGCTAAAACAGCAAAGATTGCAGGTTTGGGTTTGCGATGTACATCAGAGGCAGAGCACATGGGAGCCTCCAAGCCCATCTGGACCCTCAGGTAAGGGACAGAGACATGTCCTGGAGACACATTCACCAGTGCTGGGGGTCACCAATGGGGACAGGCAGGACGACCCACTGAGGGGTGGCTAATGCTCACCACAACAAATCTACCCTTGGTCAACCCAAGTGTGTAAGCAGGAAGAGGCCAGCGAGTCCCTCCAACACACACTGGCCACGGCCATGGGACACCAGCCTCATCCATGGACTGCAGAGCCAAAGGCCCACAGCTCCCTCAGGGAGAAACCCCCTGGTAGGGACCTCCTCACCCGAGAAGTCTCAGAGTCCTTCGTGGGTTCTGCAATGCTCTGCATTTCGTGAGGAAGAGCCTAAGTAGCTCCCCTGCTCCCCAGAGCTGATGGCTAGTCGGGGTTTTTCTCTAAATTGGTTTTTCAGCATCACCAACTCCAGCCCTGCCCCCACCCCAAAATCACAAGCTAGGCTCATAATTAAATCAAATAAATAAATTATCAGCTATTTTTACAGAATTTGTGGGTGTTCTTGAACATT